GGGGTCATCTACTGGTCATGACCAATCACCATACCAAGTTTGAAGTTCCTAGGCCTAAGGGTTCTTTAGTTATCACTCGGAAACCATTTGGTCTACGGACCGACGGACCGACCGACGGACCGACAAGTGCAAAGCAATATACCCCCTTTTTTTCAAAATGGGGGCATAATAATGGTTTCATAACTGAATGCTTATTGACATAAAGGAAACTTAATAAGGATAACAACAACAGAAATATCTTTCTTTTATTTTATTCTGAAAGGTTCATCACAACATAAAGAAAGAAAGAAATAAATAAATAGACCATTCATGTAATCAAAAATTTTAAATAATATGGAATGAAAACACCTGCAAATTGATAATTGCTTTAAACAACAAAGTTCATTTTTTAGCATGATATGCAAACAAAATGTTTTCTGAAAGAGTTATTTGTAAGACTAAATTTGTTTGTATGTAATTACGTTACTTACCTGTATAGCAGTGTTATTCATTTCCTTTTAAGTGTTATTTATCCTTTCTGCTACAGATACATCTTAAATATGTAAAATGTATGTCATGCTTTCAGTTTGTTGCTAATATTTAATGGTTGTAGTGTTTTTTGTAGCCTCAAATTTCTTGTCATAGGTAGTATTAATATTCAAGTAAAGGCGATCATGGCCCTCTTTTTTTACTTAAGAAATAATATATCCCAAAAAGTGATTTTATCGCTATACAACATCACTGTTTGGAGTTCGGATGCGAGAAATTATATCAAGAGGGCGTAGCCCGAGTGATATAATGATGCGCATCCGAACGACAAACAGTGATGTTATCAAGCGATAAAACCACTGATTTGGATATATTATTTTGATTCTAAAATGACATAAACAAATAAATGTCATGGTCCTTTTGTTTATTTAAGAAATAATATACCCCAAGTATTAATATTAAAGTAAAGGCCATCATGGCCCTTTTTTTATTTAAGAAATAATATACCCCAAACAGTGATTTTATCGCTCAATTATAAACATCACTGTTTGGAGTTCAGATGTGAGGAATCATAACACGAGGGTGTAGCCCGAGTGATATAATGATGGGCATCCGAACGACAAACAGTGATGTCATCAATCGATAAAATCACTGATTTGGATATATTATTTTGGTTCTAACATGACATCAACAAATAAAGTTGCCGTACATGATAGTTAAGCAAAATTGCGCCTGATTTGTTTCTGTACTTATTTTCAGCACATCAAATTTTTAGTGGTTACGTCACATGTATAATGATTACGTCACATGTCTAAATATAGAACATCAAACTGTGCATCTGTTGCATAATAACACACACTTTCATTTCTTCTATGTTTAATAGGGAAAAATGCGGGTCATGTTAGAACTAGTCATAATGTACATATGTATATACTTTGTTACTAAATTTGTTACTTATTTAAATTTTTATTTTAAAGTAAACAAACTTAAATCTATCTGTTTTTATATGTAAACAAACACATTATGTTCCTTAAGTGGATGTCTTTTTTACATATTCACATTTTCAAAAACAAAATATGAACATTGCAGGCTTAACACTAACTTTTTAGAAGGTGGTAAGCCAAACCAAAAGAACTGAAATTATTTGTAACATATAATTATTTTATTGTTTTTGTATTTGACTCTTTGACTAAAGTTTTGAAATGATGACAAACAGTATCATTAACCTTTACATTAAACATATCATATATTTTTAGATATATATTTTTCATCTTATCGTAAATTATATTACCATCTTGCCAAGGCATGCTTTGTACTATCAGTTGTTTTAATGATGTACATTTTATAACTACTTTAGTTTACTGTTTACAGTATTACTAATTAACTACTTTCAGCAGTATGGGACAGAATATCACGTAAGAAACAGAAGAGGACAAGTACAGCCAACTTCATGAGACTATGTGACATATGTGGATATATCTCGACAACATCCTCCATGTTTTACCAACACAAGAAGAAACATGATCAAACCGAAAAAGAAAAAATAGAATACGAGTGAAGTTGGTGCCTAAAAACATTTGCCAGCAAACCTAACCTCAAACGGCATGCAAGAAAATCGATGCATATGACGGAAGTGGAGCTACAACAACCAGTCTGAGAGATCAAAGAGAACACCAAAACCAACAGTGGAGAAGTATGATCCGGAATTTAAATATAAAGTGACCCCTAGATTTAGGATCATTGAAGGAAAGAATCCAAGAACAGAAACAAAACAACCCAAACAAGAAGATGTTGAGGACTGTAAAATCCAGGTACTATATCTTATTACACCCATAGTTTCACCAAATAAAACTCTCCATGATACAACTCTCTGTAGAGACGAATATGGACAAAATAGCGAAAGCAACAAACTAATCATGAACATTGGCAACATCTACGGAATTTTCCAGAAGAACGACAAATGCACGTGTAAAACTGTCTCATCAATAAACTAACCAAGGACTTGGCACAGTGCCAATTACCAGAACGTTCATGTTACTATATATAGTAACATACGTCATTTACATATATGAGCATTTTGTGTACTTTAGCTATTAATTTTCAATGTAAATGTGTCCTGAAGAAGGTCTATAGTGAGACCGAAACTGGTTGACCATCATTAAAAGCAGTTAAACCTACCCTGGTGTTGGTCGTTTTGCACCTCCTATATCCCGCTTTTTCTGTACTTTCATGTAGGTTGAATTAATATTCAAGTAAAGGCCAAATTATATTACAACCATAAATTTATGCCAAGGCCTGAATTGTAATATCAGTTGATATTATGATGTAGACTTTATATATCTGCTTTAGTCCCAGAAGTTAGGATTTCAATTTGAATTATTATGTTATTGTTTTTGTATTTGACACTGACTGAAGTTTTGAAATAATGACAAACAGTATTGTTAACCTTTACATTAAACATATATTTTCAGATTATATATTTTTCATCTAATCATAAATTATATTATCATCTAACCATTAATTTATGCCAAGTCATGATGTACAAGTCTATATATTTTTGTTACTAAATTTGTTACTTATTTAAATTTTTTTATTAAAATAAAGAACCTTAATATTGCCTGTTTTTATTTATGAACACACATTGTGTACCCTAGTGATACAAATAGTCCAGGCATGGAATTTACTTATGCAGGGAGTTTACATTTCCATCCTGGAATTACTAATTGCAACTGTAAATTAAATATATACAGAGATAGAGAAAGACAAAGCAGAATGTTTTGTCACATTAGTTTTGTCTATATGTGATATATGGATGTGATATATGGCATGATATATGGAGTGATATGATGTGATATATGGATGTGGTACGATTTGATGTATGACATGACATATAATGTGATATATGTAATATGGGCATGATATATGACATGATATATAGATATGATATATGGATGTGATGACTTAATATATGATTTGATATATCACATGATATATGATGTGATATATGGATGTCATAAATGGATGTCATATATGGATGTGATGTATGATTTGATATTTAACACGATATATTGACGTGATATATGGATGTGATAAGTCACGTGATATATGGACTTGATGTATGACATAATATGATATATGGATGTGATATATGACATCATTTATGACATGATATATGCCGTGGTTGAATCACGTGGTAGAGTCATGTGGTAGAGTCACATGGTAGAATCACAAGGTGGAGTCACGTGGTAGAGTGATGTGGTGATGTTACGTGGTAGTGATGTGGTGATGTCACGTGGTATAGTCAAGTGGTGGAATCATGTGGTAGAGTAATGTGGTTGTCACGTGGTGGAGTCACGTGGTGACATCACGTGGTAGAGTCTCCTGGTGGAGTAACATGGTGTAGTCACGTGGTAGAGTCACATGGTGGTGTCGCATGGTGTAGTCACGTGGTAGAGTCATAATTTAAACAATACTGAAAGAGGTTTGCTAGGAGAATCTACACACCAAATATCTAAGTTCTAGACCTTGTGGTTCCTGACAAGAAGTTTTTTAAGTTTTTCCTATTGGTTGCCATGGCAACCAGAGTTCTACATGGAATGGAATTCTTTGAACAACTTTGTTAAGGCTTCACACAAGGAACATCCCTATGAAGTTTCATTATGATCTGCCTTATGGTTTCAGAGGAGATGTCATTTTAAAAGTGTAAACGGACAACAGACTACGTACGACAGACGAGACGACGGACGAAGAGTATATGCTCAGATGAGCTAAAAACAGAATTGAATGAACTGGATCAGATGACACTTGCTAGAGTAGTTCTGTTCAACAGAAGAATTGGTGGCAGGACAGAAAGAATTACAATTGAAGAAACCACAAGAGAACATACAGGAATAATGATCAGCATGTGTAGTTGTGCACCTGGATATTTTCATGTGGATATTTTTAGTATTTTTAGAGTAATTGCCCTTGACTTAGTAAAAATTTACAATATTTAACTTGTGTTGCACGTAACTCAAAAAGTTTATGACCTGTAGGCCTGAAAGTGTACAAGAATGTCTGTCAGCATGTGTACGTATGTATCTTGGGGTTTTCTTGTGGATTTATTCAGTATTTGTAGTATTTGCCCTTTACTTAATTAAAGATTTTTAGTTTTCAACTTGGGCACATGTAGCCAAAAAAAACCAAGCAATTATCATAGTATTGCAAGAAATCCATAAGTCCCCTACCAGTTAGAACCTCAGCAACATTCTGATGGGCCATTGGCCATTCAATTTTACCAGTGGATGAATGACATGAATGAACATAAATCTTTTGAGTTCTAAGTTTGTCTATATCGCAGTAATGTGTTAAGTTTCCCTGCCTAGTAAGGAAATTATGTTTATACAACCTTGTCATATTATTATAATGTGGGATTTTAAAGTAAATCCTATAAGGAATGAAGAAGTTGGAGTGAAAAATACCAATTTCTCGAGAAAAAAAACTTAGTTCAAGGTGGAGATAATTCTGGAAATAGTCTTGCTAGAGTATTTAACCTCCTCAAAAATGTTGAGTGATAATAAGAAACATATATATGAAGTTTGAAGTAGATACATTAGGAAATAAAGAAGTAATTTAAAGACAACATTTTTTTTTCATAAAAATTCTAAGGTCAAGAGAGTCAATGCTGATAATTTTTGTGCTAGAGTTGTAAACCTTGTCACATATGATGTGGTTGATGGTCAAAAACTTATATTTAAAGTTTGAAGTAAACACCTTAAGAAATAAAGAACTTATAGTGAAAAAGCTGAAATATTTAAATTAGAAATCTTGAAATTCAGGCTATTTGTTGCCATAGCAACCAGAATTTTCAACATAGGAAGAAAAGAAAAAGATGTGCATAATCTCCAGACTGCCATCTACCCATATTTTAAGTTTCATAAAAATATTTTCAGTACTTTTTGAGTCATCACTGGATCCAGTTTATGCATTAAATTTGCCATATTTTCAGACTATTTGTTGCCATAGCAACCAGAATTTTCAACATAGGAAGAAAAAAAAGACGTGCATAATGTCCATACTGCCATCTATCCATATATCAAGTTTCATAAAAAAAAAAATTCAGTACTTTTTGTGTTATCGCGGGATCCAGTTTTGTGGACGGACGGACTGACTGACGGACAGACAGACGGACGGACGGACAGACGGAGGGTAAACCTAAAGTGGGATCCAGTTTTGTGGACAGACGAACTGACGGACAGACAGACAGACGGTAAACCTAAAGTCCCCTCCGGTTAAACCGGTAGGGGACTAAAAATTGACCTAGAGACATAAGATTTACAAATCGGTGGAGTGTGGGGGCACCTATGTCCTATGGACACATTTCTAGTTTATTCCTCCACTGATTTATTTCAAAATTTAAAATAGACATATATCAACACCTTTATCATATGTGATTAGATTTATAAGTCAGTTTATTCAAATCCATTTCAGTCTTGGGTAATAGTGAGGCAATCTCCAAGCTGTAACGATATTGCACAACATTCTGTACTTTTTTTAACCTCTGACAGTCAAGGTATACATATCATTTACACCTTCATGTTTTCGTATCCTGCCAGCAATTACCATGTTAATTTCCTACCAATTGTCAAACGTGGGAGAATGCTAGTTTTCTTATGCTTTGGTGATGGAGGTAAAAATCCCTTCTCATCTCCTTTTCTGTCACACCCTGGCCATGCCCATATTCTTTCTTCAACGCACCGTGCCTCTTCCAGGAACCTGGTCATTTTTATCTTAAGTGAACACAATTTGGAGTGGAAGTCTTGTTTGGTCCACTGACATAAGACCTTACACACATAAACTGGAAGAGATTTATGACCGATTCAGAAGCAGCCAGGGGAGATTCTTGTCAAGGTCACTGTTGCTTAAAAAAAAGAAATTCAGTTTTTACTTAATTAATTGAGTTTGCTTTGACCTTTTGACACCAAACTTGCTGTGTGCGTAGCTTATATTAAGATGCAGCTTGGGATTACTACTTAGATATCTTAGAGCAAGGTTAAGGAATAAAATTTTCAGCTTCTACTCAATAAATTTTCAGTACACATTGACATATTGATACTTTACTTAACATGTGTGTAGCTTACATGAAAATACACCGGTAAGGGACTAATAATTACAGAATTTTTTAATGCACTAGAAAACTATCTGCTATGAGGCCACAGGAACCTTAGTTAGAATTATGTGTTCTTAGTAAGAACAGATATGCAACTTGTCCTGAATGACCTCCCTTGTTATTCATTATTTGCTGTTGTTTTTTTGTTGTTGTTTTTTTCCCAAGCTACTTTCAGTTGAAAAATGTCTGTTTAAATATAGCCAAGAGGTCATTTCCTATATAGGTTACAGCCTACCTTTCAATAAAAGTTAAAATGGAAGCTTTTTTTAAGAAGAATTGAGAAAAATGAAAGAAAAATCTGTGTTGAACAGACAGGGCTGTACGATATGGCATGGGTGTATAAAGAAAGGACCAATGGGTTATGGTATTAATAATGCCAAGTTTCAACATGCCAACATTCACAGTGGCACACCATGCAAGTTCATAAACTTCTTTACCAGATTCACTATAAAACAGACAGGGCTGTATGATATGGCAGGGGTGTATAAAGAAAGGACCATTGGGCTATGGTATTATTAATGCCAAGTTTCCTGATGCACAGTGGCACATCATGCATGTTCATAAACTTCTTTATCTGGTTCACTATAAAACAGACAGGACTGTATGATATGGCAGGCATTCTTTTTTTTGCTATTTATTAGTGTTGTATGATAACTTATTTGTCACCCTTACCCCCCCCCCCCCCAAAAAAAAAAAACAACAAAAAAACAGCAAAGATGGTCAAGGTGATCCTTTGGACTTTGGATCAATTGTCTGCTCTACATCGAGCTTTTAAAACAAACCCTTGGATGTCTTACAGTCAAGAAAAATAGTGAGTGCAAACAGGCAAGAATCGATGAGCCAGTGTTGGATGCGTAAGAAGCTGGAAGAACAAAAAGTTTCATGTAAGTCACAAACTACATATGTTTTTGAGTTAACAGTTCAAAACTTTTCAGAGGATTGTTACAAAAAGTTCAGTTATTCTATATGATTAATTTCAGACAAACACACTTGGAGCAAACTGGAGAAGGAAGCTTTAGAAGTGTTTTTTGAAAAGCATTTGAGACTGATGAAAGTGACAGTAAAATTGGAATGTTTAAATGCACAAAGAAAAAATCCTTGCCTCTTGCAATTTAATTGGAAAACAATTAAGTTTGCTGTGTATTAAATATGATAACATCAAGAATATCCTCAAATACAGGAAGTGTTTACAACAGTGATGATGTCTTTGATATAAACGAAACTTGTTGTTTTATTTTAGAATGATCAGAGAAAGGTAAAGGATAGGTGCAGGAAGGCTCTCCAGACTGCGCTTAAAAACTAGTATACTGTTGAAGCAGTACATAGACTTAATATAAAGTTGCCAGATGCTGACAGTCACAGTCATACTATGTCAACAGTATGTTATCAATTTTGACAAAGAAAATGAATATTTGTTATCTGAATTAATTTCTGTACATTATCCATAATTCGGTGTCATCTAAAATAAATTACAATATATCTTTTGTATATTATTTTCAATTTCAGCTAATTGGGATGACTAACCCTGTAAGTGAGGAGGTGAAAGAAAAAATAATATCACTAGTTAGTAGTGTTGCAGAAATGCAGAGACATTTAAGGCATCAGCCCTGTGCCTCTTCAAACCAATTTGGCATTCTATCCCATGGATACCACCATACGTAGACATATGTACACTTGTCAGCAAAGACCAAGACTTAGGAGATAATTATGAATTGAATATTTGCATTTATTAGCTCATGAATTTGAAGAATTCTTCAGCTGTTCTACTCAATCAGTTCTTGGCATTACCTATTACATCAAAACAATTTTGACCAAAAAAAATATGCTGACTGACTTGTACAACCCATCATTTACTCTTGTATGGGCATAATGCCACTTTAAATATTTTTTATCTCCAGTTTGCAATGACATTGACAAAGGTTTGTTATGCTGCTGTTAACAATTATATGAATAGATTGTTTGTCTGTTCTTGTCTCTAGAAACTGTTGAAGAAAGTCCTGAAGAAGATTTGTCAGTCCATCTGGAATCAGCCAGTCCGACATTTAGATCAAGATATCCAAAACGGAAGCGCATGCCAAAATTAAGGAAATAATATAAATGAAGATCAAGTAAACACTTGTAATTTGTATTTTAGTATATATACATGAACATATCATCCAGCGATACCAAAACAATTCAGTCAACGGATGTAAAAGTTTGTGACAATTACATTGTTATTCATACAAACCTCATCTCCATTTTATATATACTAAATTGTAGTTTTGTGTCCCATTATTTTCAGAAAATAAGCATAAGTTGTGAATACACATTAACTTCAAAACAATTGTTCTGTGTATGCAGAAAGCCTGATGATGGAAAGTAAGTTTTATACATACAAATCCTTCAAACATAACTTACACATGACGTTTTGTTTGATTTCTTTAAAATCCTTCAATCTAAACAGTATAATTATTTGTTCATGAGTAAGCAGAGAGAAAAAGAATCTCTATAGAAAAACTCCAAAACAACAAAATTTAAAAATGATACAGGCTCATTTTGATTGAGACTGCAAAAGAAAAGTACTGGAAAAAGAAAAGTACAGGATAATCTGTCCATGCCCTCCCACCCACCCCCAAAAGGACCGGCTTAAGCAGAATTCAATATTAAAGGATGGTAATGGTGAAGTCATGCAGATATTGTTTTCAAGAAAAGTTATTTCTTATTTTTTTCATTTGTACTTAAGTACAGTAAATTTTAGATAGATGAATATAAAAAGAATTAAATGTTTTAAATATTTCAGGTTATACTGGCATTGTGAGAACTGTAAAGATTACTTTCATCCATCTTGCGTTGGGGAAAATATTGCTGGGGAGCCAGATAGATACTACTGCAAGTCCTGCAAAGATAAGGTAATTTTCTCACCATGTTGCTTTCTTTTTTTAACTGTTCAAATTGTTTAATTTGTTCTTATTATTTTATAATTTTATAAGTAATTACATGTACAAAGAAGAAGAAAATATCTATTTGTGTAATGTTTAATGATGTATTCAAACTTGTTTATCTTTAAGGAAACTGAGACAGCTTTATTACTGTTGGTGGGAAGAGAATTAACTTACCAGGTATGTAAAAAAAATATTTCATATTTGAAATTTCTTATTTTCGGCCGCTCTTCTTAAATTTTGACAAATTCACATGATTGAATTATACAATTTCTTAAGCCAAAATTAAATAAAATTCAGATTTATTAAATAACTAATAAGGTTAAACATTATGAATGCTTGCCCCAGTCTATAAACTATATTCACAGATCCTGATGATATAGCCAATGATGACGAAGAAGAAGAAGACAGACACAAAGAGCCATCTGTGGTTGGTGATAGCAAAAGTAGTGATGACGATATACATATTTTGGGAGATAACCATGACTTGTTTCAAAATGTAATTTTTATTAGTAATATGGATAACAAGGTCATATTGCTTAATTTTTTATCGTTGTGAAAGAGGTTTAAATCACAATGTTATCTTTGGCAGTTATACTGCATCTGAGAGATGGGGAACATGGAAATGTTTATCTCAAAGGATAGGACATCTTAATGAGAAACTCTGTATTGAATACGGTTTAAAAAGAAAACAGTTTTTTTCTGTCCTAGTTATACAGTAATCCGATAAAAAAATCCCTTACTGAAATTGTGAGTATTTTGTAGATGCTGTGCAATTCTCTGTTTGGATGAAAGAACTTTAGTACACAGCAAATATCTATATTTTCCATTTGGAGAGTTGGAGAGCTGTGCCAGCTTTCACTATTACTTGCCATGTTGTTGTACATGTAGGTCTACGTCTAACAAGCGCTTCTTGTGGGAATCCGCTAATGCTATTCCCCGTACCGTAACCTTTCCGTACCGTACTAAGTACGGATTTTCCAATAAAAATTATCGCAAAGAATACAACGATCAAGTAATCACGACTCAGTAATCATATTAAAAACGAATGTAACTACCAGGTTCACAATCTTAAGCTTTGACAAAAAACAACTTTTATTTATACTTTTAACAATGAACTATATTTTTATGTCTCTGCTTTTACCAAAATTCTGTATCGTACATTTCAGAAGCTTGCCGAGGTGGACAGCCCAGATTCTACTAGTTAGAATTAGGTTTTCAGGAAAAAATCATTTTAAAACCTTGAATGGAAGATCGGCACACATTACTATATAGCCTTATTATTGCTGCATTTTGTTAATAAGCTCAAAGCCCTAATGTGTACGGAACGGAATGTGTATACGGTACGGGGAATAGCCCCGTAAAAACGTTTGGCAGATGTGGATGAAAGAATATCTGATTATAACGATTTATTTTTATTTCAAAGAAGAACATGATTTCGTGTTGTTATTTCATAATTTGCAAACTAATAACTAAAGCAAACTGTGGATGAAATAAAAAAAAATTGTCATTACGCCGAGCCTGATGTCAAGGCTTTTTGATTGGTTACGGCTGCTTGCCCAGCATCTCTATCTAGCTTTCTGATTGGTGCGCTTCGATTACTGTTTGAGCGCTACATTCAGCAATGGCAGACGAAACACTTTTTGCGATTGTGCAATGGGAGGATAATTTAACAAGTATTATCAGCCTTCAGACCATTAAATTTCCAAGAAAACCTATCACCCAGTACCTTGAAGAAGATTACGTGACTGCCCCGTTTGGAAGAAAGCTCTACAAAGCGAGAATCTTGGAAATTTGTGGTAAGTTGCTAGGGCCCTTTTGATTCATCATTCAGAAATATCACTTTTTGTCTAGCCTGCAATGTTTTGTGTTTTTAAGATGAGTTCGATAAACGGACTAGTTCCTTATTAGTCAAACTTGTAAATGTGTCATATTATTGGGGTACAACCAAATTTTTTACAAATGTTTAAAATCTATGTTTTCAAGAAAAAATTTCAATTTATTTAGTTGTCATGCATAAAGATAAAGATAATGCGACGTTAAAAATAAAGCTTCTTTATCTTTATCTTTAAGAAGAAATTTCAATTTATTTAGTTGTCATGCATCTTGAACGCCATTACACTCTATTTTTATGAATAGTTGTTGCAAACATTGAAGTGTCCAATGACTTAGAATGTTTACATCGAAGCAGGAAAAAATATCTTTTGAGAGGAAATAGATAATAATTCATGGCCATACCATAATTTTGTCCACTTTTTCTACAATCTTACCAGAATTATCAAAAAAATAAATAAATGGACCTGAACTGGTCATGGTTCGGAACTGGTTCATTAACTGTAATTCTGTTACACTTAAAGTTGAACTTGGAAGAAATGCAGGTTTCATGCACAAGGATAATCCTCAAACTTTTCGTAAAATTTCAACAAATTGTTTTGTGAATAAAATTAATTTCCACTGAAATTACAGTCAGAGACATAAAAATACAGAGATTGGAAATGTAAACAGCAAATGGAGGAAATATACTTAAAGTCTCATGAAACTAAAAAGAGTGTGAAAACATATCAAACGTGAGGAGACGAGCATGGCAAATCTGATTTAACAAAATAGACTGTCTGCCATCTTGAAAATAATTATAAAAATAAAACATTAAAAATAATAAATAAAATAAACATATTTTACCTTCGAATCGATGGAAAAACAGTCCGATTGGGATCATAATGATGACGTAGTATCCTACCAT